CCCCCCCCGCCCTCACCCCTGCCCTCACCCCTGCCCCCCCCAGCCTCACCCCTGCCCTCACCCCCGCCCCCCCGCCCTCACCCCTGCCTCACCCCGCCCCCCCCGCCCCTCACCCCCGCCCCCCCCCTGCCCCCCCCGCCCTCACCCACCGCGGGTACAGGTCCATGTAGAACTTGCCGGACCACGTCCCCCGAGGCCGCGTCCCTGGCTGTGTAGAGCTGCACGTCCTCGTGCCAGGCGCCGGCGCCCTCCTCCTGGTGGAAGGCCAGCCCCAGCAGCTCCTGGTAGATGCCCAGCAGCCCCTGTGTGACCACCTGCACGGGGAAGTACTCCTTGAGCAGGTTCTGGTCCACGCGGTAGCGCGTCTCCTCCACCTGGTTCATGTAGTAGCGCATGTCCCAGGCACGGATGCACCCGTCGAAGGCCAGGCCCCGGCGCTCGCACTCAGCTCGCTTCAGCTCCAGAATCGCCTCGCGCTCCTGCTCCCCCAGGGGCTTCAGCTTCTGTGCCAGCTCATCTGGGAGGGCGGGAGGTGGGTGTCTCGCCTTGCAGGCTCCTGCATGGCTCTAGGTTCTCCCACCCGCAGCCACAACTTCGTCAGGCTCCCCGTCCCTCTGAAAGCTCCCAGCAACCCCTCCCAAGGCCCATCATGCTCACGTTCAGGACAAGGGGGCGGAGGGACCGGTGCAGGCATGGGGCTGACACCAGGGCCTGGGCGCTTCCCTGTTCTGAGGGTCCCCCCAGGGGAGTGAGGGAGCCGGGGCAGGGGTCGGAAGTCCCTCTTCATGGAGGGAAAGATCAGGGCTCTAGGGATAGCACCAGCTGCCCCCAGGGTGACCCTGAGAACCTTCGTCACAGGGACCCCAGTGGAGGAGGAGGAAGGGCTACCTAGGAAGGTGGCCACGGTCTGGCTGGTCTTGGCCATGTTCATCTCCAGGACATAGTCAGCGTGCGTGCAGAACCCCAGCAGGCGGGACTTCTGGGCCCGCAGCGTCACCAGCTCCTTGAGGATGGCGCAGTTCTCCTGCAACCGACATCACCGTGCTGTCGGCCAGGGTGCCACTCCCTCCACCTCCGGGCCAGGGGCTCATCCCAGCTCTGTCTGGCCTCCGGCCCCTGCCCCTCTCCAGCTGTGTCACTACACAGCACTTCTGGTCACACCACGAGTGTCATTATAAGCCTCAGAACGTGGTGTGGGCACTGGGGATGTGTACACAGAATGCGGTGTGTTGGGGGCTTCTGAGGAGCCTGCACATAGGGACGCCCCCGTGTCCAGGCCCTGGCTCCCAGTCTCAGGACTCTGCCCACCTCCACTGGCACACGACATGCACGCAGCCTCACCTCAGGGACTGGCACTGCTGACCAAGGTTGTGGGGGGGAAACATGACAGATGTGCCCATCAGCACGCTGGCTCCACAGGGAACCCAGCTGTGACCAGGCAGGTGCGCAGAGCCGCCAGTCAACTGGGGGCCAGGTCGACCACCAGCAGCAAAGTCTCTGAGGCGGCACATGCTCTGGGACCTGGAACTCAGCCCGCCCATGTGCTCTCTCTTGGCCCGGCCCTTACTCTGCCACTAGCACCCAACCCTGGGGACCGGGACAGTATTTAGAAACAAGGACTTGTAGGGCTCAGACCCCTGCCCAGTTGACCTTCCAAGGTGCGCTGGGAAGCTGAGGTTCGCCCAGCCCATGGGTCCGCCTACTCAGCCATACAGCAACGAGGGCTCACTGCCAACATGTAGAGGGAGGCCCCCCATTTGAACAACCACGGTCCTGGCCCCTGACCAGCAAGGAGCCCTCCTCTTCAGTGACCGGTGCCCGCCTGTCCACTGCCCCCTGCAGTGATTGGCACCCGCCTGTCTTCCTCTCAGTGATTGGTGCCCCACCCCGTCCCCCTGCAGTGATTGGCGCCCGCCTGTCTTCCTCTCAGTGATTGGTGCCACCACCCCGTCCCCTGCAGTGATTGGCACCTGTCTTCCTCTCAGTGATTGTGTGCCCCACCCCGTCCCCCTGCAGTGATTGGCACCTGCCTGTCTTCCTCTCAGTGATTGGTGCCCACCCCGTCCCCCTGCAGTTGATTGGCACCTGCCTGTCTTCCTCTCAGTGATTGGTGCCCCACCCCGTCCCTGCAGTGATTGGCACCTGCCTGTCTTCCTCTCAGTGATTGGTGCCCCACCCCGTCCCTGCAGTGATTGGCAGCAATCAGTGCCTGCCTGTCCCCCAGCCTCTTTCGCCGGCCACGTGAGCAGCAACATGGTGTGGTCAGGAGACCACCAAGGCCCACTCCTAGTGCCCCTGCCTGTTCCAGACGGGAGAAGTGCAGAGCCACCTGACCACACCATGGCGCCGGGGACAGTTATACGAGTCCGTGTGGGAATGGCCGTCTGGCGCCAGGTCATAGGGAGAAGGCCCAGTCACGACCCACCTGTGGACCCAGGCTCAGGCCTGGGCACCGCCATGTCAGACCAAAGGAATGACCTGGGCGGGCTCCAGATAAGGGAGACAGGACACCTGTATGTGGCCAGATTGCTCAGAGCAGCAGCAGGAGCAGCAGCTCGGCAAGGATGAACTGGGCCCTGAGCTGTGGCCCCAGGGTCTAGGTGGAGCCCAGCACAGACAACCCCAGGGGGCGGCGGAGCCCCACAGGGAGGCCTCTGCTGGCCAGGGAGATTGGGAGGTGCCTCATACGTGTGCGGCCGACGAGCCCCACAAGCTCCCCCCCGCAACAGTCCCTGGGGCCCCGGCCTCACAAGCTTCCCCCCACAGTCCCTGGGGCCCCGGCCTCACAAGCTTCCCCCCACAGTCCCTGGGGCCCCGGCCTCACAACCCCACAAGCTCCCCGCCCCCAGTCCCTGGGGCCCCAGCCCCACAAGTTCCCGCCCCCAGCCCCTGGGGCCCCGGCCGCACCGTCTCACCTCCTTACACCGGCAGTTGAAGGCCTCCTCCACTCTCCTCCTGGTCTCCGGCACGTGGCATTTCTTCAGGAGGGGGAAGTAATGCGGGTACTTGAGGGTGACCTTCAACTTGCCGCCCTCCGTCTTCTCCAGGGAGTTGAGAAAGTCCTCGGGGAGCCCTCCTATGTGACAGAACAGTCCTGTCAAAGCAGAGGCGTGGGCTTCCCTTCTGCCTGAAAAACTATACGGGTGCCCTCAGGGAGCAGCCACAGCCTGGCCACCACCCGCGGCCAGGTCCCCCTGTAAGCCCACCACGAGACCCCCAGCCCACCCAGAGCAGATCTCTTACCCCGGAGGGGTTAAAGCTAAATCCGGCTCAACCCCTGGACAGCGTGAGCTTCCGGGGTGCTGCCGCCACCCCCACGTGTGAAGGGAGGAGGGCGGCAGGAAGAGTGGCTGTCAGCACGCAGCCCCGCTGTGCATCCACTTCCTGGTGCGTCCCTCAGACAGACCCAGTCCCTGCTCCCAGAGCTGGTCACTGCAGCCCTGCCAGCCTTTCTCCACCCACACACCCCTGGCCGGACAGAGCCCACCCCGCTGCCCGGCAGCCACAGCCTGCCACCTGGCCTCCCCGCCGACAGCCCTGGGACTGAAATCCTCCAGGGCTCCCACTTCACGGCTCGGGAGAAACCAAGGCCACCGTGCCTCAGGTTCCCAGCTTCGATACCAAGACTGGCTCACCCTGCCCTCCAGGGTGGTAAGGGTGAGAAAGAATGATCGGGATGAGGGGCTGGTGGCTGATGGGGGACATTCTGGGAGACCAGCCCGTGGAGGTGGGTGGTGAGACAAGAGTCCCATGTGGCAGAGCCCCACCTCCCCATTTGCACGCTGGCACCAGCGCCAGCCTGGCACTGTCTGCCAGGGACTCAGTGGGCTGAGCTCAGCTTCCAATGTCCCAGCTGGGCTCTGTGGCGGGGGGCGGGTCGGGAGGAGATGAAGGGAAAGATGCGGCCTCCTGAGACCTGCACATCTTCCTTTCCAAGGAGCAGGGGCCTTCAAACAGCACTGCTCCACCTCAACAGTGTGTCACCCAGGAGTGACAGCTGACGGTCAGAGACGGGAGTTAAAGACAGCAAGGGAGACGGCCAGAGTGGCTCAGTGTGCTGGACTGGAAGTAAAGCTATCAAGTGCACTCATGAAAATTGTAATTGTTTTAGAAACAGGGTCTTGCTCTGTTGCCCAGGCTGGAATGCAGTAGTGCGATCATAGTTCACTGTGGCCTTGAACTCCCAGGCTCAAGCGAGCCTCCTGCCTCAGCCTCCCGAGTAGCTGGGACCACAGGCGTGCCCCACCATGCCCCGTGGAACTTGTGGATTTTATATACAGACACAGAAGAGAAGAGTATGTGTGCCCATGGGTGACGCAGAGATGCGCATCTGCTCCCTGTTGACGGCGTCCGGGAACACTGCCCCCCAGCAGCGATGAACACACCTGGGGCCCAGATTCTGCTTCCTGAATCACCCTCCACTCAAAGGCACCACAGCTCCTCCAAGAAATGGCTCATGTGAGCACTGGGCAGAGAGAGCCTGGATGAGCCTGCGCACCACGTGTCCAACAGTAACAGCCAGCTCAGAGGACAGCAGGTGCATTCCAAGGACACAGGGACTGTCTGGAGGGGCTCGCGAGGGTTGGTGTGGAACGATTTGAGCACTGAGATGAATGGCAACGGGTGATAACCTGGGAATAAGACGGGAGCCTCATGCATACGGCAGGGAGAGAAACAAATCATCAGAAAATGGGCAAGAAGGAAGGTTCAGAGTCACAGCAGGATGACTAACGCTCGGAAGGATGAGGGCAGCAAAAGTCACCCATGGACGCGGCAAGAAGTGCGAGTGACAGACACTCACAGGTGTCTGGTCTAGGTGGGGGCATCCACTCCAAAACACACAAGGAACTTAATCCAGAGATGGCAGCATGTGGGGTGGCAGTGCTGGGGAGATGTCGGCGCTGGGGGATGGTGGCGCTGGGGGGATGGGGTGCTGGGGGATGGGGGTGCTGGGGGATGGTGGTGTTAGGGGGTGGCGACTGGGGGCCAGCAGTATTGGGGGATTTGGGTAGTGGGGACAGTGTTAGTGGGGGGATGGGGTGTTGGTGGATGGTGATATTGGGTGCCGGGATCTTTAACAGGCAACCAGGTCATGTGGCTCCGCCTTCAGGATGGATGAATCCATTCATGGATTCACAGACTAAGGAAGGGATTGATGGGTTAACGTAGCAGTGGGACTGGGGCTTTGTGAGGAGAGGAGGAGACCTGGGCAGGCTCGCTCAGCCACCTCCTCTCACCATGTGACACCCTGGCGCCCTCACGGCTCCAGGGTCCCCACCAGGATAAGGTCCTCATCAGATGTGGCCCCGTGACGTGGGACCTCTCAGCCTCCAGAGCTGGGACAAGTTCACTCCTTTTCTTATAAAGTACTCGGCTCTAGGTCTTCTGTTGTCAGCAAAAGAAAAGGGACTAAGCTTCTCCTGACAAATCCCTGACACAAAGGGAAACAGGCCGCGGGGGCAGCGGAGAGCCTGGGGAGACCACGCCTTACCCAGGCGTGCGCCACCATCACCCGCCACGTGGGACTCCAGCTACCCGCACGGGAGGCCCCTCAGGCTGGACAACGGAACGGCCCAAAGAGTTAGACACCAAAACCAAGCACATGCTCGAGTGTGCAGGACGGCGAATGTGAAAAGCAGCAGCTGAAGCACTGACGAGAGAACACGGCTGGCTGCGATCGGGGAACCCACGTGCCCCAGCGGACTCTGCAGAAGCAGGCTGCTGACGCCGTCCCCCAGCGGACTCTGCAGAAGCAGCCCGCTGACGCCGTCCCCCAGCGGACTCTGCAGAAGCAGCTTTGCTGACGCCGTCCCCAGCGGACTCTGCAGAAGCAGCTTTGCTGACGCCGACTGAGCTTCTGCTGCACTTCAGACCAACTTCCTGTGCGCTGGCATGGGCACACAACCGTGCGCACCCGAGGACCTTCCCGACCTCCTCCCCTTTCCATCCACCCATCACCTGCTAACCCCAGAACCCGCCTCTAAACTCCTCTAATCAAAGCTGACACAGGAGGCAGATGTGAGCTGGACGCCCAGTCTCCCTGGCCGTGAAAAGCTTTGCAATGAAAAGCTTTTGTTTCTCAAAAACTTGGTGCCACAGCACTCGCTTCTCACACACTGGGCATCGAGCCCTTCTGCTTGGTAACACGAGCAGGTGGGAGGAACGGCCCCGCGCGGACAGTGTGAGTGGCCAAGGGGACGGTGTGGGTGACGGTGAGAACGGCGTGGGAGACTATGGTGATGGTGGGGAGGGTGTGAGCGATGGTGTGGGTGACGGTGGGGATGGTGTGGGAGACTGTGGTGACAGTGGGGACGGTATGGGTGATGGTGTGGGTGACGGTGGGGACGGTGTGGGTGATGGTGGGGATGGTGTGGGTGATGGTGTGGGTGACTGTGGGAATGGTGTGGGAGACTGTGGTGACAGTGGGGACGGTGTGGGTGATGGTGATGGTGGGGATGGTGTGGGTGACGGTGGGGACAGTGTGGGTGATGGTGTAGGTGACAGTGGGGATGGTGTAGGTGACAGCGGGGACAGTGCCGGTGATGGTGTAGGTGATGGTGGGGACGGTGTGGGTGATGGTGTAGGTGACGGTGGGGATGGTGTGGGTGACGGTGGGGACGGTGTGGGTGATGGTGTGATGGTGGGGACAGTGTGGGTGATGGTGTAGGTGATGGTGGGGATGGTGTGGGTGACAGTGGGGACGGTGTAGGTGACGGTGGGGACGGTGCGGGTGATGGTGTGGGTGACGGCGGGGACGGTGCCAGTGATGGTGTAGGTGACGGCGGGGACGGTGCGGGTGATGGTGTAGGTGACGGCGGGGACGGTGCGGGTGATGGTGTAGGTGACGGCGGGGACGGTGCGGGTGATGGTGTAGGTGACGGCGGGGACGGTGTGGGTGATGGTGTGGGTGACAGTGGGGACGGTGTGGGTGATGGTGTGGGTGACGGTGGGGACGGTATGGGTGATGGTGTGGGTGACGGTGGGGATGGTGTGGGTGACGGTGGGGATGGTGTGGGTGATGGTGTGGGTGACGGTGGGGATGGTGTGGGTGATGGTATAGGTGATGGTGGGGACAGTGTGCGTGACAGCGGGGACAGTGCAGGTGATGGTGTAGGTGATGGTGGGGACGGTGTGGGTGATGGTGTAGGTGACGGTGGGGATGGTGTGGGTGATGGTGTGGGTGACGGTGGGGGATGGTGTGGGTGACGGTGTGGACGGTGTGGGTGACAGCGGGGACAGTGCAGGTGATGTAGGTGACGGTGGGGATGGTGTCGGTGACAGTGGGGATGGTGTGGGTGATGGTGTAGGCGATGGTGGAGGTGATGGTGGGGATGGTGTGGGTGACAGTGTGGGTGATGGCAGGAACGGTGTGGGTGACAGCAGGGACAATGTGGATGGCCATGGGGACGGTGTGGGTGACGGTGGGGACGGTGTGACGGTGGGGACGGTGTGGGTGATGGTGTGGGTGACGGTGGGGACGGTGTGGGTGATGGTGTAGGTGACAGTGGGGATGGTGTGGGTGACAGTGTGGGTGATGGCAGGAATGGTGTGGGTGACAGCAGGGACAATGTGGATGGCCATGGGGACGGTGTGGGTGATGGTGGGGATGGTGTGGGTGACGGTGGGGATGGTGTGGGTGACAGTGTGGGTGATGGCAGGGACGGTGTGGGTGACAGCAGGGACAATGTGGATGGCCGTGGGGACGGTGTGGGTGACAGCAGGGACAATGTGGAAGGCCGTGGGGCCGGTGTGGGTGACAGCAGGGACAATGTGGATGGCTGTGAGGATGGTGTGGGTGACAGCAGGGACAATGTGGATGGCTGTGGGGATGGTTGCAGGGCCTGGGAAATGTACGTTACTGGAGCTTGTAGGCCGTCTTCTCTCCCGTGTGTGGGGAGCTGAGGGCAGACGCAGTGCCTGAGACCCAGCGGGGCTGTGAGGGCTGAGCCAAGCGCAGTGGTGCCCGACCTGCAAGTGCTCCTTCAGGGGACGTGTGCCCAGGTCACCGCACATCAAGCCACCCGAGGAGGCCTCGGACCATGAGGGCCTTGTCCCCAGCCATCACCTCAGAGGCAGCCACAGTTAGAGTCTAGAACTGGACATTATATTCTAGAGCATTCATTAGAATATTCTGGCCCAGCCGGGCACTGTGGCTCACGTCTGTAATCCCAGAACTCTGGGAGGCCGAGGTGGGAGGACCACCTGAGCCCAGGAGTTCAAGACCAGCCTGGCCAACATGGCGAAACCCTGTCTCTACTACAAATACAAAAATTAGCCAGGTGTGATGCCACGCGTCTGTAATCCCACCACTCAGGAGACTGAGGCAGGAGAATCACTTGATCAGGGGGCGGAGGTTGCGGTGAGCTGAGATTGTACCACTGCACTCCAGCCTGGACAACAGAGCAAGAATGCATCTCTAAATAAATTTAAGAGGCAGGAAGTGGGGTCTCAAGAGAAAGTTCTGGCTGCCTCAGGGTCACCGCTGAGACTGGCACCCTTGGCCGCCCCATCTGGCCTGGGGGCCCGCCACTGCCAGAGACATTTCCCATTAGGGTGGAATCTTGGGTGGACAGACCTCGGCCGGAGTGTACCAGGGGAGGAAAGCCCTCGTCCCGGCGGGTCAGATGCAGCTGCCTTGGCTTCCCTCCACCCTTCACCGCAGAGGCCCTCGGGAGGAAGCGCAGCCTGAGTGACTCCCGGGACTGACAGCTGCCCATCCCCCACGCCCGGTCCCTACCCAGCTCCTCCACCGTGAAGGGCAGGAAGGTCGTGTCCTCGTTCAGGTTCTTGTTGAAGTCGATGCACAGGAGGCTCAGCTTCTTCTTGATGCTTTTGATTTTCTAGAGAGAAAGGCGAGGCGTGAGAGGAGGGAGAGACCAGGGCGGGAGCCGCAGGAAGACTCAAAGCCCTGGGAACGCTTCCACCTAGGGCTAAGGGATCTCCCCAAGAACCAGGCAGAAAGAAGAGGCCACCAGGGACGAAAGAGTGAGTCGGGAGGCAGAGAACGGACAGACACGGAGGCCACGAGGCTGTGGAGCTGGGTGACCGTGGGCAGCCTCAGGGCTGTGCTCCCGTCTGTCAGGTGTGGCCCTGGCCAAGAGGGCCTCAGACCCTCCTATCCATTCAGGAGTCACTTTCAGAGGCTACAGCCTAAGCTCGTCAACATTCTCCTGAGACGGGGTCTCACTGTTGCTCAGGCTGGAGTGCAGAGGTGATCTCAGCTCACTGCAGCCTCAACCTCCCAGCTCTATCCATCCTCCTGCCTCAGCCTCCTGAGTAGTTAGGACTACAGGTGCACGCCACCACGCCCAGCTAATTTATGTACGTTTGGTAGAGCTGGGGTTTTACCATGTTGCTCAGGCTGGTTTTGAACTCCTGGGCTCAGGCGATCCTCCCAACTCAGGCTCTCAAAGTGCTGGAGTGACAGGCGTGAGTCACCACGTCTGGCAGCTTTTGAACATTTCATTCCTTATCTTGTAACGGTGGTTTTAGAAACAGCTAAAAATTGATCCCGGTGATAGGGATACCAACAAGAACTCAGTCTAGAGGGGCCCCTCTGCTAGTGTTGAGGGCTAGGAGCCAACCAGTGTGTGAGCAGCACCTGGCTTGAGGGCATGTGACACATGACAGGCTGGTGGCAGGGCTAGAGCCCAGCTCCATGGGGCCGGAGCAGAAATGCTCACCCACGGGACAGATGCGACGGGGACGGGAAACTGTGCCCACGGCTTTGCTCGTCAGACAGGCCCCTGGCTCACAACCAGCCGAGGGCTTGCTGGGCCTCTCCTGGGAGAGATTGCTGGGCGATTCCCAGTCTCCCTCTTTCGCCATCTCACACAGACAAACCCAGCAATGCCAGGGAAGGCTCTGGAGACTCCATGTGCAAACAGCGCGGCCCGCAGAGCCCGCAGAACACTGGGAACTCCGCTCGCTGGGGTCCGGACCTGGCACCTCTTCCGGCCTCTGCCCTCTGCCCGCTGGTCCTTGTGGAGAGTTTGCGGCTTCCTGTGCACTCAACCACACATGCTGGGCATGCAAGAAGCTGAGTGGCTTTTAAAATAACTGTGGCACGGTGCCTCACGCCTGGAATCCCAGCAGTGTGAGAGGCCGAGGTGGGTGAATCACTTGAGCTTAGGAGTTGGTCTGAGACCAGCCTGGCCAACATGGTGAAACCCTGTCTCTACAAAAAAATACAAGTAATTAGCCAGGTGTGTTGGCAGGTGCCCATAATCCCAGCTACTCAGGAGGCTGAGGCAGAAGAATGGCTTGAACCCAGGAGGCGGAGGCTGCAGTGAGCTGACATCGTACCACTGCACTCCAGCCTCGGTGACAGAGTGTAACTCCCTCTATAAAGATATAGAAATAAATAAAAATAACTCTGACTCTTGTCCTCTACAGCTGAGCTGAGACTCCCAGTCCCCCGGGTCCTGAGAGGGACCCTGATTCTGCTTTTATCAGTGCTGGCTTCACTGACAAACGCACTGGCTTCACTGACAAACGCACTGGCCTCTCTGAGTTGTGGCTGCCTCGGCCATCAGGTGGAGACGCCCCCTAATCAGGACAGCGGTAGCTTCACATAACAGGAACAGGGACAGCCACGGGGCTCTGGCTGCAGCCTGGGGCCTATGTTATCCTGGACAGATGCTCCTTGACTTAGGACGGGGGGTGTGTCCCAATAAACCCATTGTGAGTTGAGGATCTCATGAATCACGTGTATTTACTAACATACAGAGCGGCACCGCCAACCGGGCCTGCCTTAACCGTGCTCAGGACGCTCACGGCGGCCACATTCTGGTGCCATCGCCGAAGCAAAGACTCTGACAGGAGGTGTTGCGAATCTCATGTGACTTTTGTTTTCAGTCCACCTGTGCCATCGCACGCTGGCTAGAGCTGCGGCCGGCGCCCAGCATCACAGGAAAGCAGGTGCCCAGGTGGCCACCCTGGGAGAGATCAGCATTCCAAGCACGCTCTGTGGAACATGCTCATGGTCACACCATCCTGAGTCAGGGGCTTGCGTTCTGATGCTTTGACGTCTGGGGCCCTTGCCGGCCCTGGAGAAACGGCCCCTCCCAGAGACAACCAGCAACTCGCTGCAGACATCTTTCCTGCAAATCAACCAGCCTCGAGCCCCTACACTCTGGGGTACAGCCACTGGATCCCAGCACCCTAGGGCGAGGTACCTGACAAAGGGCGGCGCCCATGCCAGGGCCAGCTGGCACGGTCCACTGATCACACTCCCCACCACGCCCGCGCCCTCACAAAGGCCCTGCCCAGAGCACAGCTCCTGACCCAGCCCTGCTTCCCGAGTGGCACGCTGCCAGTTCCTGGGAAATGTGACAAACACCTTTTCAGTAGCAGTCACCCTGCTCTGTTGGCGTCACCAAACCCCGATCTGCTAACACACACACTTGACTTCAGTGCTGCCCTCTCAGCTCTGCACCAACTATTTCGTATCACCCGAGACGCCCACATCAGGCACAGTGGGCAGCAAGTGGAGGGGCTCCCCTCATTACTGAGCCTCTGGGCCCCATGTCTGCATGTACCTGCCTTGCCAGAGTTCATGTTCTCAGGCAGCACAAAGACGGACATCAGGCTAGGGGGTCAGCCTTGAAGGGAGGACACTCCCAAGGAGGCAGGAACAGGAAGCCATGGGAGCCTCACCCCCCAGCACTCCCCACACACAGTACTCCCCAGAACCGAGCACTCCCAACACCCAGCACTCCCTAGGACTGAGCACTCCCCACACCCAGTACTCCCTGCACCCAGCACTGCCCAAATCCAGTACTCCCTGGGACCGGTACTCCCTGCACCCAGCACTCCCCTGGCCCGGCACTGCCCACACTCAGCACTTACTTCCTGAGTCTCTCTGGGGAGGTGAAGCCCATTCCTCCGGCCCAGCTTGATCAGCCGCTCCAGGTACCGCGCAGCCTCAGGCCTCAGAGAGTCCTTCTGAACTTTCTCCTAGAATGAGAACATGAAAACGTGTAAGACGTGGGCCAGCGCACACACTCCAAAGAGCTGTTTGGCCGCTTCTTAAACACCTGATCACCCGGCCCCCATGTAACTTGGCAGCTGAACTCCTGGGCATTTATCTCGGAGAAATGGTGAAATCCGAGCGGAGGGCCTGCCTTGTTTGGAAGCGCCCCACACTGACGTCAGCCCAGAGCTTCTTTACCAGGGCGACGGCAGAACAGGAATCAGATCGCCGACCGTCCCAGGAGGCCATCTACCCGGGGTGTAGATGACACCATACGTTTGCAAAACGTCCCTGCTGGGGGAACTGGGCAGGGTCGACAAGAGCAGCCGACTATCCTGCACCGTGTGGTAACCTCTTGTCTCTACAGAAACTCTGGAAGGTGGGGGTGGGAGAATTGCTTGGGCCCAAGAGTTCGAGACAAGCCTGGACAACATGTGAGACCCTGTTTGCATTTAAAGAAAAAACAGGCCGGGCGCGGTGGCTCACGCCTGTAATCCAAGCACTTTGGAGGCCAAGGCGGGTGGATCACCTGAGGTCGGGAGTTGAAGACCAGCCTGACCAACATGGTAAAACCCCGTCTTTATTTAAAAATAAATAAACAAAATAATAATAATCCATTGCTATCATAGGTCACCCTGACGTGTACTGGTACCGAAGCACCTGGGCTGCATCTTCCTGACGCTGTAGGGACACGGCTGCACATTCCAGGGGTCCTCGGCTAAGATGAACAGCAGCAGAAGGGTCTCTGGGTCTGTCCTAATCATGTGACATCAACAGGAAAGGCTCCGCTGCATGCTGGGAGGAGCGTCCGGGGGAGCAGGAGCCCATGCGGCCATGTCACCGGGCCCTGTCAGCTCACATCACGTGGGGATGGGGTATTTGGGCCACACGTGGGATGGCCAGGAAAGGAAACGAAAGTGCACATGCGTGGCCGGGCGTGGTAGCTCACGCCTGTGATGCCAGCATTTTGGGAGGCCAAGGTGTGCAGATCACCTAAGGTCAGGAGTTCGAGAGCAGCCTGGCCAACATGGTGAAACCCCATCTCTACTAAAAACACAAAAAACGGGCCAGGCACAGTGGCTCATGCCTGTAATCCCAGGACTGTGGGCGGCTGAGGTGGGCGGATCACTTGAAGTGGGGAGTTGGAGACCAGCCTGGCCAACACAGTGAAACTCCGTTGCTACTAAAAATACAAAAATGAGCCCGATGTGGCAGCACATGCCTATAATCCCAGCTATTCCAGAGGCTGACGCAGGACAATTGCTTGAACCTGGGAGGCGGAAGCTGTAATAAGCCGAGATCACACTACTGCACTCCAGCTGGGACGACAGAGCAACACTCCGTCTCACAGCAAAACAAAGCAAAAAAATCAAAAAGCAGGAAAGGAGCTGAGCGTGAGGGAGCCAGGGAGCCCGGGTTTTCCGTCCCTTGCTGTTGCCATTGCACTCTATTCGCCGTCATCATTTTTTAACAGTCTTTTAAAAAACAGTGCTGTTCTGCTGGGTATGGTGACTCATGCCTGTAATCCCAGCACTTCGGGAGACTGAGGCAGGCAGATTACGATGTCGAGAGATAGAGACCAGCCTGGCCAACATGGCGAAACCCCATCCCTACTAAAAATACAAAAATTAGCTGGGCATGGTGACGTGCACCTGTTGTCACAGCTACTCGGGAGGCTGAGGCAGGAGAATCATTTGAACCTGGGAGGCAGAGGTTGTGGTGAGCCGAGATCGCGCCACTGCACTCCAGCCTGGCAACAGAGCGTGCCTCCGTCTCAAAAAAAAAATATTCTAAGACACACCTAACCTAAAATTCACCACTCTAACCCTGACGAGGCGCACAGCTGAGGGCATGCGGTGCAGTCCCCCGCCTGCATCGGCTCCAGAACTCCTCCTCGTTACCTTTAGAACCTAGAGAGCAGGAGCCCTTAGTCCTCAAGAGCTTTCTACCCTCTGCTGCTGCTGCCTTACGGATTCTCCAGGCCTTACGGATTCTCCCCGCCTTACGGATTCTCCAGGCCTTACGGATTCTCCCCGCCTTACGGATTCTCCCGGCCTTACGGATTCTCCCAGCCCTACGGATTCTCCCGGCCCTACGGATTCTCCCCGCCTTACGGATTCTCCAGGCCTTATGGATTCTCCCCGCCTTACGGATTCTCCCCGCCTTACGGATTCTCCAGGCCTTACAGAGTCTCCCAGCCTTACACATTCTCCCCACCTTACAGATTCTCACCACCACGGGCTTTCCCTCAGCCTGCCCAGGCACCAGCCGCCTCACTCCCCGACGGACCCCTCACCTGGAGCCAGACAATCCTCTGGTACACATCTTCCCTCATGCTCATCTCCACATCGAACTCGGAGAGCTTCTTGTCAGCCTCCGTGCTGGCCATGCGGATGTCCTTGGAGGGAGAAACGTGCTGGGGGAAGTCAAGGCTATTCCTCTGAACTGAAACGGGGGAGAGCAGGGAGACGGGTGAGAATGGGCCCGGTATAACCAGCAGGTGCTGCCCTGACCCCTCCCCTAGCCCAGGCCTGTCTGCTGAATCCCCCGTGAACCATCTCCTGCCTCAGCCTCCTGAGTAGCTGGGATGACAGGCACATGTCACTGTCCCCTCCAACATGGGCCCTGGGATGGAGACACAGGTGCTGTCGCCCAGGTCCTTGGGGATCTTATAGACCAAAGAAAAACACAGACTCAACTCCAAGCACTCCAAGCCAAGGAGGACCCCAACAGGGCGGGGTACCGCGAAACAGGGGGGCTGACAGCACTCCGTTCTAGATGGAGCTGCAGCTGGCAATGGTCACGTTTAAATGCATCAACTACTTACAATTTCCTGAGCCCATCTGCGCTTTAGGTTGAGTAGAGGAAGGGTCAGTGGCTACAAAAGCATAAGCTTTAGGCCAGGTGAGGTGTCTCACGTCTGTAACCCTGGCGCTGTGGGAGGCTGAGGCAGTCAGATCACCTGAGGCCAGGAGTTTGAGACCAGCCTGGCCAAAAAGACAAAACCCCATCTCTACTAAAAATACAAAAATTAGTGGGGCATGGTGGCATGTGCCTGTAATCCCAGTTACTTGGGAGGCTGAGGTAGGAGAATGGCTTGAACCCAGAAGGCGGAGGTTGCAATGATTTGAAATCACACCACTGTGCTCCAGCCTAGGTGACAGAGTGAGGCTCCATCTCAAAAAAAAAAGGCTTTAAAATGGAGTCACCCTGTGACCCCGAGCCTCCAATGCCAGGCATCAAGCCAGGAGACATGAACACACATGCGCACAGGAATCTGCCCACGTGCATTCACAGCAGCACGATTCACAATCGCCAAAAGCTCCATCGATGAGTGAATGGACTGACAGGATGTGGCCTCTGCCCAGTGGAACATGATTCAGCTCAAAAGAGGAACGAGGCCCTGGAACAGGCCACGGTGTGGATGCACCGACGAAGGCACGCTCAGCGAAAGCAGCCAGACACAAAAGGCCACACGGTGTGTGATGGCATTTCTATGAAATGTCCAGGACAGGCGCATCCATGGAGACTGGAGGGGTTGCATGGGTGCCGGGGTTGGGAGCAGGGCAGATGGAGCGTGGCCACTGCAGGGTATAAAGTTTCTCTCTGGGATCACAAAAATAACTCTAAAATCAAAGAATGGTGACACTTGGACAACTCCATGATTTTATTCAAAACCCCTGACGTCTGTGCTTTAGATGGGTGAACTGTATGTTACACAAACGATATCTTAATGGAGCAGTTTAAAAAAACAAATTAGCAGCTGGGTGTAGTGGTTCACGCATGTAATCCCAGCACTTTAGGAGGCCAAGTTGGGTGAATCAGGAGGTCTGGAGTTCAAGACCAGCCTGGCCAGATGGTAAAACCCATCTCTACTAAAATACAAAAATTAGCAGGGCACAGTGGCAGGAACCTGTAATCCCAGCTACTCTGGAGGCTGAGACAGAATTGCTTGAACCAAGGTGGCAGAGGTTGCCGTGAGCCAAGATCGAGCCACTGCACTCCAGCCTGGGCAACGGAGTGAAACTGTCTCAAGAAAACCAAATTAGCCAGGCACAGTGGCACACACCTGTGCTCCCAGCTACTGAGAAGGCTTGGGCCTGGGAGATGAAGGCTGCAGTGAGCCATCATCACACAACTGTATTCTAGCAGCCTGGGCGGCAGAGCAAGACCCCGTCTCAGAAAAAACCCAAGAGCCCGTCATGGGGGCCCTGGGCCAGGCCTGACGCTGGTGTTGAAGAGAATAAAGACCGCCCTCTCGGGATTTACAGGCGACCGATTAGGCAAGTGACTGCCGGGGCGCTGGGTGTGACAACAGTGTCAGTGCCGTGCAGGGACTAATCCAGGCAGCTGGCACCGGGACAGGGGGAGCAGGAAGGGCCCCTGGGTGAAGTGGACCTAATCTGTGATTAGAGAGAAGCTGGGCATTCAGCAGAGCACAGGAGAGGGGTGCCAGGGGCCAGCTGGGGAAGCATGCCAGGCATGAGGAGGCCACGTGTCCATGCGCAGACATGGCAGATGCTGGGTGTCCCGAGGGCTGTGGAGAGGCTCGGAGGGGAGCACCAGGGCCGATTTCAGTTTCCTTTAACGCTGCCTCTCGCCACCACATGGAGGAGGAAAGGAAAGACTGCAGGAGGGGAAGGCAGGGCATGGGGAGGGGGAAATGATGCCTGGCACTGCTCAGTACCATCAGCGGGAACTGGTGCCACCTGTGCCTGGTGAGACTCCTGCAGGAGAGACAAGGGGCCACCATGTGGCTGAGAAGGGGAAACCGAGGCCATGCCGGGATCTAAGCCACCTGTCGGAGCCAGAGTGAGTGGGAGGAGGGTCAGGACTCCAGGGGGGCTGTAGGTGCTGCAGGCTCAGGGTGCTTCCTCCTTCCAGCCCCCAGCATGCCAACCTAGAGAGCAATCCCCCGGGAGGCCACATGGCAGAGGCTGCGGAGGCCAACCTCTCCCAGGGATGCTGGGAACACACGAGAAGCCCTGAGCTGAACTCAAGGATTCCTGACGGTTCCCGGCAACAAGGCCTTTTGCTAGATGGAAGGGGGGGAGCTGCCTCACTCAGGGCTCCCCGGACAGACAGGTGCGCGGTCCGCCTCCCGCAGAGCTCTGGAAGCAGTCTCCCTAACCCATGTCACCAGGCACCTCACTCCTCACCATGAGCACAGGGAGAGGAGGAGGATCAGGCTGAGAGCGAGGAGGACGCCCCAGGTCAGGAGGTCACTCAGCAGGCAGAAGCCACAGGGGCCAAGTTGAGTCATTCAGAGGGAACACAAATACTGGCCATCCCAGGACAGGGAAAGAGGTCAGACGGGGGTCAGGTTTCAAGGCTGTCGCCTCTGGGAGAGGTGGAGAGGCTGGAGAGGCGGGCTGTTTAGACATGCTGTCTCATGTTGGGCGCTCAGGTGACACACCCGAGGAGTCCTCTGAACGGACGAGGCTGTGAGGCAGCGCAGGGCCCGGGCAGAACTGCCTCTCTTCAACACCTCCAGTGACAAGCCCCTGCCAGACGCCTCTACCCAGCTATCAGTTTCGCCACCGTGGCCAGCCTGGGGGTAGGTGACACTGCCCTGTGCTCAGGGGCAGGTGCTGGTGACACTTGGTGCCAGGTTCTGAATGGGCTCTGTGGGCTAGGCCGCTCCTGCCTGCTGAACACATCCCTTGGCACCTGCAGCCCATGCCCACACCCTACCCGGGCTCACCTGTGTAGGTGACCTCCACATCTGCCAATGCCTTGAGCGTGCTCTCGTAGGATACGTCCTCGAACGCCTGGGCGCCCACCTGGTCGTACACGCGCTTGGTCTGCTCAGCGAGCTCCCGGGCTCGCTCCTCTATCTGCTGGGCGCTCAGATCCCATCGCAGGTAGTTCCCCATGGAGCACGGAGATGGCGCGTCTGCCACGTCTCCCGCACACGCTGCACAGAAAACAAAACCCAGTGCCAGGCGGGTCTGCTTTAGGTTCAGAGTTAGGGTCACAGTCAGGGGGGCAGAGGAGAGGCTTCCCGTCCAGGACAATGAGGTCCAGGGCTCTTGTGGGGAAGCACGAACTGACCAGTCCTTCAGAACAGGAGGCAATTCTGTCACCCACCCTGTCCAGGGCTCAGGAGGCAATTCTGTCACCCACCCTGTCCAGGGCTCTTGTGGGGAAGCACGAACTGACCAGTCCTTCAGAACAGGAGGCAATTCTGTCACCCACCCTGTCCAGGGCTCTTGTGGGGAAGCACGAACTGACCAGTCCTTCAGAACAGCAGGCAATTCTGTCACCCACCCTGTCCAGGGCTCTTGTGGGGAAGCACGAACTGACCAGTCCTTCAGAACAGCAGGCAATTCTGTCACCCACCCTGTCCAGGGCTCATGTGGGGAAGCACGAACTGACCAGTCCTTCAGAACAGCAGGCAATTCTGTCACCCACCCTGTCCAGGGCTCTTGTGGGGAAGCACGAACTGACCAGTCCTTCAGAACAGCAGGCAATTCTGTCACCCACCCTGTCCAGGGCTCAGGAGGCAATTCTGTCACCCACCCTGTCCAGGGGACCCTTGCTGACATCTAGGACACCTGTGGCTGCCGAGACTGCAGTGCTCCTGGCATGGAGTGGGTAGAGGCCAGGGATCCTGCTCAGTGCCCAGGACAGCCCCAGATAGAGATATGGCTGCTGTGAAAAGCCCCCGCCCTGGGGGGGGCATCACGCACAGATCAGCTGGCACAGAACCCTGGGTGTTCACGAAAGGGGAAATCTAGGCCCACTCACGCACTGCTCAACTCCTGCCATGCCAGAGGGAAAAACTGAGGTAAAGCGGGGGTTGCCGGGAAGATCCCCTTCTTCCGCCTGCTTTTTCCATACCCCACACGCCTCCGTTCTTCACCTCAGCAACAAAGTCAGCCTGGGATGTGGCTGTGCTGGACCCACGGGTGCTGGGGCGAGTTATGTGCAGCCCGTCCACCCACTACAGGGCCTCTGAGAAACGGATGTGTAAGCGCAGCTGGAAAAGAGGACTGGCAGGCGGGGGCTCCTGGCAGCAAGAGCAGTTGCGGGAAGGGCAACTACCTGGAGAAAAGGTGGCAGAACCGCCTGGAAAGACCTCATCGTGCAGGACCCAGTGGGGTCTACATGGAGCGGAGGAACGGGGGCAGCAAACGGTCCTGCAGAGGGCCAAGGAGGCTCAGCTTTGCGGGCCACAGACGGTCTCTGCCTGGAAAGACCTCATCGTGCAGGACCCAGTGGGGTCCACATGGAGCGGACGGGGCGGGGCAGCAAACGGTCCTGCAGAGGGCCAAGGAGGCTCAGCTTTGCGGGCCACAGACGGTCTCTGCCTGGAAAGACCTCATCGTGCAGGACCCAGTGGGGTCTACATGGAGCGGACGGGGCGGGGCAGCAAACGGTCCTGCACAGGGCCAAGGAGGCTCAGCTTTGCGGGCCACAGACGGTCTCTGCCTGGAAAGACCTCATCGTGCAGGACCCAGTGGGGTCTACATGGAGCGGACGGGGCGGGGCAGCAAACCGTCCTGCACAGGGCCAAGGAGGCTCAGCTTTGCGGGCCACAGACGGTCTCTGTCTCACCCAAAAATCATCTTTACTTCCAGGGCTGTGCAGAAATAGGCCGACTGGGCGCAGTGGCTCATGTCTGTAATCCCAGAGATTTGGGAGACCTGAGGCTGGGAGTTCGAGAGCAGCCTGGGCAACATGGAAAAACCTAAAAATACAAAATTAGCTGGGCGTGGTGGCGTGTGCCTGTAATCCCAGCTACTCAGGAGGCTGAGGCAGGAGAATCACTTGAACCAGGGAGGCGGAGGTTGCAGTGAGACGAGATCACACCACTGCACTCCAGCCTGGGCAACAAGAGCAAAAGTCCATTTCCAAAATAAAATAAAAAAGAGCCCAGAGTTTGCCAACCCCTGGTGTAGATGACAAGAAAGGCTTTGAACTCCAATCCTGAGTGCACGGTAGAGCCCCGGAAAAGGAGAGGAAGGGGGTGGGACGGTGGCACTAACAATCCATGTGCATTTTCACAGAGCCTGGGGTGGGCCCAACAGGCTAGCTCAGATCTCAGAGGGTGAAGTCAGGCGGCCCGGGGTTCAGACCCACCTCTGCCACTTGCTAGCTCTGGGATTCTGGCAAGAAATGTTAACTCTCAGGGTTCCTGCCTGTGAAACGGGAACAATACAGGGTGCAGAGAACAAGAACTGTGCGGAACGAGGCAAAGCATCCTGCATCCCGGACACGGCAAGAACTGTGCGGAACGAGGCAAAGCATCCTGCATCCCGGACACGGCAAGAACTGTGCGGAACGAGGCAAAGCATCCTGCATCCCGGACACGGCAAGAACTGTGAGGAACGAGGCAAAGCATCCTGCATCCCGGACACGGCAAGAACTGTGAGGAACGAGGCAAAGCATCTTGCATCCCGGACACGGCAAGACAGTTCTCCAGAGGTAGCTGTGAAACTGACAGACGGTGCTCTCCAGCCCAAAAACTCCTGGGGCTGGGACATTTGAACACCCAGAATCTCCTCCCGTTGTAGAAAGGTAATAGAGTCCAAGTGCCATGTACTCCATGTCACTAGGGAGGCTCGGGCAGCACTCTGACATCAAATGACTCTTTCTGCAGCGAAATGCGGGAATATGCAGCAGGGTCTCTCCCCGTCTGCTCTGTGGCTGTGGGGGCCGGATCGTTCTCTGGGGTGGAGCTGTCCTGAGCGCTGCAGGGTGCTGAGCACCCCTGGCCTCTACCCACTCCATAACAGGAGTTCCCCCCACAACTGTGACAATCACAAGTGTCCCCAGATATCGCCCAGTGAGTGTCCCCTGAGGTAGCACAATTGCCCCAGCTGAGAATCACTGAGATTCACTAAGTGGGAGAAAGAAAGGCTCTCAGTCATTTCTTTTAGCTCATTTTCCGGCCAAATGACTGCGGTGAACTTACAGGCAAAACTTTCAGTTCAGTGTATTTAGGATTTTAGAAATGCAAATAAGGGACCACGGATCTACCTTAAACCGAGGGGTAAAGAAGAGCTTCAGGGTCTCGGAAAGGATGGAGATCAGTGGGAACTGGAATTGTCAGAAAATTCTCCTGCAGGAGTTGGGATTTGAAAAACATGTGGACGTCCATCCGTCCTGTAAATATTTACTGATTGTGCCAAGGGTCCAGCAGCAGACAAGGCAGACAACATTCCTTCCTTCTTGAAGATCCCTGAGGCCTGAAGATCCCTAATTATCATTATTACAATTATCACCCTCATGGCAATGGGCTGGACAAAGAGCCGGGGAGTGTGGCCTGGAAAGAGAAAAGTCAAGGATGGGGCAAGGAGTTGCCTCACAACAACCTGAGTGACTTTCTAAAATCCAGGCGGGGCGCGGTGGCTCATGCCTGTAATCCCAGCACTTTGGGAGGCCAAGCCGGGCAGATCCCCTGAGGTCAGGAGTTCGAGACCAACCTGGCCAATGTGATAAGACCGTCATCTCTACAAATAATACAAAAATTAGCCAGGTGTGGCGGCGGGCACCTGTAATCCCAGCTACCTGGGAGGCTGAGGAAGGAGAATGGCTTGAACCCAGGAGGCCGAGGCTGCAGTCAGCAGAGATAGCACCACTGCATCCCAGCCTGGGAGACAGAGCGTGACTGTCCCAAAAAATAAACAAATAAATTTTAAAAAACTGTACACAGGACCCATTGCCCCTTTGTCTTTTTTTTTTTTTGAGACGGAGCCTCGCTTTGTTGCCAGGCTGGAGTGCAGTGGTGAGATCTCAGCTCACTGCAACCTCCGCCTCCTGGGTTCAAGCAATTCTTCCACCTCAGCCTCCCGAGTAGCTGGGATTACAGGCACGCGCCACCACACCTGGCTAATTTTTTTTGTATTTTAAGTATAGACGGGGTTTCACTGTGTTGGCCAGGATGGTCTAGATCTCTTGACCTCCCAAAGTGCTGGGAGCCACCGTGCCCGGCCACCCCTTAGTCTTTAAATTAAAAGGGTCTTGGCTGGGTACAGTGGCTCATGTCTGTCACCCCAGCACTTTGGGAGGCCGAGGCAGGCGGATTGCTTGAAACCAGGAGGTTCAAGACCAGCGTGGGGAACACGGTGAAAACTCCTCTCTACAAAAAAAAAACGTTCCTGCCTCCTCGCCTTTGGCCTGGTGGTTCCCTCCTCCCGGGACTCCTCCTTCCCCGATCCTGGCAGGACACCTGCTTCTCCCCATCAAGTCTAGGCTCACCTCTTCAGAAAAGCGCCCCCCCCCCAGGACCACCCGCTCTCTAAAGACGCCCCCCCTGCACTGCCCCGTTCGTTTATCTGCTCCGGGGCACCGATCCCCATCTTCGATCCCCTCTTGCTTATTTACTTGTTAAATGTCTGTCTCTGGCACTAGAATTACGGTTTTGAAAACGGGGACCGGAGTCTTCCAAGTCAGGGCCTCCCCAGGGTCCGCCACGGGGCCCGACCCGTCCTGAGCGGAAGCGCCGTCAAGTTTGCCGAATGAATGAAGCGCCGGAAAAGCTGGTTCATTCATTCCGCAAACGAGAGGGCGGGATCGCCCATTCCCCCGCCGCCCGCCCCCCGCCCAGCCCGGCCGAGGGTGGCTCGGGGGGTCACTCGGCTCCAGCCTTAGGCCCAAGTCGCGACCCCGGGAGGAGCGAAGGTGCAAGGGACGCCCGGGTCCGGCGAGCGGGGCCGCACCGAGGGGTGGTCTTTACCTGCCGGGGGCTTCATGGCGGGCGGGTCTGCGCCTGCGGTCCCCTCCCTCTTTCCACCTGCTACGCGTCCAGCCGCCTCGGCCGCGCGGCCGCCGCCCTCGGCCCAACCGCCGCCACCGCTGCCTGAAGACTGAGGGGCCCGCCGCCCGCGCGCCCGATGCATGCCGGGGCGGCGCGTGCACAGGGAGAGCTGGACACACGCGGGCCGAGTCCAACCCTCCGCGTACGCGCCGCAACGCTGCCGATCCGTCATTGGTTGTCCGAGGCGGGTGGGCGGAGCCTCTCGCTCACACCTCCCCAAGGAAGGTTTCCTTGGAAACCTCACGCCGCGGACGCCTCTGAGGCTCTGTCTGCTGGGCTCATGCTGCTGAGACTTCGCCTGGCTTTCGAACTACCGTGTTAATGTGTCCTTGCCTCCCTTCTTATAGCTGTGTGTTGGGCTAGTGTTATTATTGATCGCTTACTGTTTCCCCGGCCCAGTTTCCAGCATCTGAATCCGACATATCAAATTAACCAGAAGTTTCTCTTTCTTTTTTTTTTTGAGACAGTCTCGCTCTGTCGCCCAGGCTGGAGTAAAGTAGCGTGATCTCGGCTCACTGCAACCTCCGCTGTTGAGAAATGCTAAGTGTATGATTGCTGAGAAATGCTGAATGTATGATGAAATATATCGTTTGCTGAGAAGAACCGTGGCAAAGAAAATCTAGCTCCCCCTCTTCCCCCCGCCAGAAGAAAACTACTTGGGGTGTTCTAAAGTGGCAGGACAATAAATAAATATAAAAATATCATGCACCGGTTAAAACAGTTCTTTAAGTGTGGGACATCTGACCCTGTCCCATGGCTCCCTCGTGGAGAATCCTTTTTAGTTTGTGATCCGTGGTGAGTGGTCACCAGCTGCCTACGTGGTACATTTTTGTGTTATGAGAAAATACCGAACATCAGTTTATTAATAATAATCACGTGTTCAGAGAGAATAACTGTGTGGGTCAGTCTGCTTGAGGCCCTCAACCCGGAATGCTGTGAGCCCTTGAGGCTCTGAGCTGGGAAAGCTGTGGGCCCATGGATAGATCCACTTTGCTGTTCTATCTGGCTGTCTGCTTCTTAATTCCTTCAGCGCCACCTGGCTGGGGGTCTTTCCGGCTGAGGTGGTCTTGGTACACTGCCTCTCGGGTTCAAGCAATTCTCCTGCCTCAGCCTCCCGAGTAGCTGGGACTACAGATGCCTGCACCAGGCCCGGCTAATTTTAGTGTTTTTAGTGGAGACAGGTTTTCACCATGGTGGCCAGGCTAGTCTTGAACTCCTGACCTCAAGTGATCTGCCTGCCTCAGTCTCCCAGAGTGCTGGGATTACAGGCCACCACGTCTGGTCACCCTACATGGGTGATCATGCCCAGCCACCACGTCTGGCCTTACCTCCTTTATTTCTGCAAAAGAAATTCAAATAATCCACTCCATTAATTGTGTGTGTATTTCAAGTAGGAAGAAAAGGAATTGGGAGAATATTGTATACAATGGGTTCTAAATTTCTCTTCAAAGCATCAGTATGTCAGCCAGGCAAGGTAGCTCATGCCTGTAATTCCAGCACTTTGGGAGGCCAAGGCGGGCAGATCACCTGAGGTCAGGTGTTCGAGACTAGCCTGGCCAACATGGAGAAACCTCATCGCCACTAAAAATACAAAAAAAAAAAAAAAAAAAGAATCAGTGTGTCATATTTAGTTATTCGTCCTTCATTTTAAAGCTTAACTTCCTTGTAGTTTCAGTACATAACCTTATCCACCAAGTTCTAATCAATAGTTAACATCTGTTCCCTCTCCCCAACCCCTGACTCTGTCCTGACTCATCCTGGTCACCTGCTCCAGTCACCTCCTCCAGTTGAGGAAGGAGACCCAGGCATCTGGGATTCCCTCCCCCTCTGTCATCCACTGGGCATCTCAGTAGAAGAGAGAGCAGGCCAGCTGGTGCCTCCTGAATCTCCTTCCCGAAAATAACATGCTTGGTCTTGGGGAAACTCTGGAAGGCACTACAAGATCAAACCATAAACCTTTTCACATGTGAATCCTAAAAGTGTAAACCGGAACCCTTTCCTATGTAACTCCTAAAGCTATAAACCTAAGATTCTTCCCCGTGTAATGTCTAAAGTATAAGCCTATATAAAGGCAGAACCTTCCTTTGTTAGATGAGCTGGGCTTTCGACAAATTACCACCTGGTCTCCCAGCTGAATAAACTCCTCCCTCCTTTATTCCGTGTTCGACAGACCCGTTTCCCGCGGCTGCTCCTGCTACACAGTCACCTTCTTTGACCTAGATCACTCCTGGCTACCTGCTCTGACCTGCCTGTAACGGTCCTTCCCGCCAAACCACCCACCCTGCCACTCCAGCTTGGACCCCTGCTCCCTTTAAAAGAGCCAATCGGGATTAGTCTAGCTTGTGCGGTCTCACTCTAGCCAATAGGGGAATGACACAGGAGTAGGGGCCACCCCCATCAGGCATAAGTACCCCTTTTTCTCACTTGCCCACATATGTGGTCAGCATCGCTCCCTCAGTGAGCTGCACCCTTCTATAGAAATAAACTGCCTTGCTGAGAGGATTTGTCTTCGAGTGCTATTTCTTTTGCAGCATCAAACTTTTACTTATAACAGAGAACATTTCTGGCAACTATAACTCAGATGGTGCTAAGTTTTCCATTGTCCTAGGAAATTTCTCACCACTTTGTCTCTATTTTTTTGGGGGGGGGGTGGTGTCTTGAGCACACCAAGCTTAATTTTACGTCAGCCTTCATTTTAGCTGTTCCCTGTGCCTGGGGTACTTTAAGTTTGGACTTTCCTATCCTTGAAATCCAAATCTAAACGATGATCTTTCCTACCCATCCTAGCTCCCAGCCACAATCACAGCACCTTCATTTTTTTTTTTTTTTTTTGAGACGGAGTTTCACTCTTGTTACCCAGGCTGGAGTGCAATGGTGTGATCTCGGCTCACCGCAACCTCCGCCTCCTGGGTTCAGGCAATTCTCCTGCCTCAGCCTCCCGAGTAGCTGGGATTACAGGCACGCGCCACCATGCCCAGCTAATTTTTTGTATTTTTAGTAGAGACGGGGTTTCATATGTTGACCAGGTTGGTCTCGATCTCTCGACCTTGTGATCCACCCGCCTCAGCCTCCCAAAGTGCTGGGATTACAGGCTTGAGCCACTGCGCCCGGCCAACCTTCATTTTTTTTTTGCAGGGTTTGCTGTGAAATTTCTTGTTTCTGTATTTATGCACTAGTTTATTAGTTGATAGTCCGTCTACACCAATGCAAGATAATGAGAGTAGACACTTCGCTGATTTTTATGGCTGGTTTGTAATAAATATTGATTGAATATGAGGCACCTGCTGTCTACAAATGTCTCTATTTTCACAGACGTCTCATAGATTGCATGAAAGAATGCATTTGTGGGTGAGTAGATGGGTGGGTAAATAATAAACAAAGACAGGGAGCGGATAACAGTGACTCCCATTCATTGCGCGCCTGTGACGCTCTGAGGTCCAGATGTCCAAACACGGCTGCACCACGTGGCCGGCCCAGCACCACGTGGTCAGCTCCGCCACCGGTTGGAGTCCGCCACTGTCCCACCATGCACCGCTTCATGCTTGTTTTAGATGGCAAGTCAGACCTGATTTCCGGCCTCCGTTAGGTCGCAGAGGTCAGTTGCCCTAACGACCAGCTGGTACCCGCCTCTACGTTACGCCACTTCCTGTCACGCCCACTTAGAGCAGTAATGCACCTGCGCAGAAGGGAAGCAAGCCGGGATGCCCTTGTTCTGCGCAGGCGTGGAGCCCAGGGGCCGGGGCCGGGTGGCACCGCGGTGCGCAAGCGCAACCGTCGGTGGGTCGGGGATCGGTCGCCTGAGAGGTGAGTAAGGGGCTCCGTGCTGAGCCTGGGGGATCGGGGGTCTGCGGCTCGGGGCTCACGGGGCCCCAGAGCCCGTAAGAGGTTGGGGATTGTGAGGTCAGGGTCACCGCGACTCGCGGGGTCCTGTGAGTAGGTGGCGCGGAGGGGAAACTGAGGCCGGGAGGCATCGGGCAGGCCGTTCGAGCCCCGATCTCCCTGTCCCGGACCCCAGGTCCTGGAAATGCTGGTCCGCGGGCTGGTGGCGAGGTCGGCGGGAGGTGAAGGCGCCCCGCAGTAGTGAGCGCTCGCTGGGTGTCCGCTGCCGTCTCGCTCTTATTAACCGCCTGGAAATGTCGTTCCTGTGACTCGGGGACCCCCGTTTGTGGTGACTCAAGTCGGGGCTCTAGTCCCAGCGCCGCCAGTCCCTACCTCGGTGACCTTACCCAGCCTCTTGGCTTTTTGGAGCCTCAGTTGTCCCCTCTGTAAAACGGACGCTGTCAAAAGTCCCTGCCTGGGAAATGAGAGCCGCGGGGCCCAGCGCCAAGTGAGAACCCCGAAGAATTGGCGGCCGTTCGTCTTATTTCATGTTTAGAGTCGTCTTCTGCATATCTTGCTGGAGGTTGGGGCAATGTGGGATACAGGACCAGCCCTCCAGCACGTCTTACCCGCTGCGTAAACCTGGGTGAGCCGCCTCCGCTCTAACCAAAGCGCCCCTTCTTTCGTAAACAGGAGTGGTAAAAGCAGATGTGTCGGAGGGTCCTTATGAGGGTAAACCCACATAGGATTCTTTGACGGGGTGCCTGGAAGTTGGTAAGAGAGAGCTGGCTTGAGAACGGCTGTTTTTGTTATTCGGGGCCAGAAGATTGCCGTGAGTGTGCATCTCAGAGGGTGAATGATTCTCCCATTTTCTTTTGTTTCTGTGTCTTTTTTTTTTTTTTTGAGACGGAGTTTTGCTCTTGTTACCCAGGCTGGAGTGCAATGGCGCGATCTCGGCTCACCGCAACCTCCGCCTCCTGGGTTCAGGCAATTCTCCTGCCTCAGCCTCCCAAGTAGCTGGGATTACAGGCACGTGCCACCGTGCCCAGCTAATTTTTTGTATTTTTAGTAGAGACGGGGTTTCACCATGTTGACCAGGATGGTCTTGATCTCTTGACCTCGTGATCCGCCCGCCTCAGCCTCCCAAAGTGCTGGGATTACAGGCATGAGCCACCGCGCCCGGCTGAGACGGAATCTTATTCGGTCGCCCAGACAGGAGTGCAGTGGCTTCATCTCGGCTCACTCCACCTCCTGGGTTCAAGCGATTCTCCTGCCTCAGCCTCCCCAGTAGCTGGGATTACAGGTTGGTGCCACCACGCCCGGCTAATTTTTTTGTATTTTTAGTAGAGACGGGGTTTCACCATGTTGGCCAGGCTGGTCTCCAACTCTTGACTTGATGATCTGTCTGCCTAAGCCTCCCAAAGTGCTGGGGTTACAGGTGTGAGCCCCCATGCCTGTCCTACAACAGCGTTTTAAAGAAACTGTTAAAAATGACAAAGGCAAATAGAGAACAGTGACAACAGGAAGGGCAGGAACACCTGGGGATGTCTGGGCTCCCGCACACTCATTTGTTTTTCTGTTTTTTGGTTTTTTTTGCTTTGTTTTGTTTTGAGACGGAGTCTTGCTCTGTTGCAATGGCGTGATCTTGGCTCACTCCACCTCTGGGGCCCAAGCAGTTGTCCTGCGTCATTCTCTCAGTAGCTGGGACTACAGGCACGCACCACCACGCCCGCCTAATTTTTGTATTCTTAGTAGAGAAGGGCTTTCACCATGTTGCTCAGGCTGGTCTCGAACTCTTGACCTCGTGATCCACCCGCCTCAGCCTCCCACAGTGCTGGGATTACAGGCGTGAGCCACCGTGCCTTGCCTTGTTTCTGTCTCTGAT